AGCTATGTGGAGGAGTTGGAGGGAGGAAAGGAAAGGAGAAATGAGGTGATTATAATCTCAGACAGTAAGCAAATGTTTAAGAGGAAGAAAAATCTGGATATTCAAACTTTGCTCAGGTCAAATAAATGAAGCAAGGGGAGAAAAGACTGTTTGCACATGTTTGGGTTCAGGCTCTATTCTAAGTAATGCCAGCCGTTCCTCTTCAATTCTCCCAGTCTCTCAAGATAGGCCTCACTAGCCCCACTTTACCCATGTCTTGAGGTTGTAAGATTAATTTGGCAAACCCTAAACTCAGTTGCCTTTAAAGACTTGCCTCTAATCTGTTTACCTGCCAGAATATTTGAAGTAGCAGATTTTAGTATGCCATTCATCAGTCTCACTGATGCCTCTTATTTCTTATCTTGTGACATGAGTCAATTCCTACCAACAATGGGGATTGACAGCTCCTGATCTGGCAAGTACCTTACTCACCAAGGTCCGTAGCATGTTGTAGCAGTGCCAACCAAGCAGGAGGTATCCAATGGTTGCTACTAAACTATTGTGCTTTTGACTTTTCCTTCAGGGTCTCCACTCAGCTTACTAGGAAACAGGAAGGGCGACCATTCTCTTACAAACTGCAGCTTCCTGCACCCCTCCTTACTCAGAGTGGAGTTTTTGTTGATGCATTCTTTGCTATAAGAAGCCCAGGAGCCTCTGCCTGTAGTTTAATTTATTTTAACTTATTTCTTTTGGCTGCCTCTCTTTCAACTTCCCTAAGTATCTACAGGATTTTTTTTGTTGTGAAACTAAAAACCATTTAAATATATGTACCAAAAATCAGATATCTAGGACTCACAAATTTTAATACAAAGATTTGTTGCCTGACACTTTGCTTTTACCAATATATACATAAATCTGTGTGTGGCAGTGCACCCTTTTAGTCCTAGTACTCAAAGCAGAGGCAGAAGGAGATCTGAGTTTGAGGTCAGCCTTGTCTCTTGAGCTAGTTCCAGGAGAGCCAGGGCTTACAGAAAGAAACCCTGTGTTGAAAACACACACACACAAAAGCAAAGTAAAAGAGAAAAGACCTACATACAGGCAACAGTATACAAACTTAGCAGGCTGTATTCATATACTTAGGATATAAATGAGGGGGCGTTATGGGAACATCTGAAAGTATGGAAGGGTAGGGAAAACGTAATTATATTGTAATCTAAAATAAAAATTACGTAATTAAATTATTTTCTGAATTACTTTTTTTTTTTTTTGGTTTTACGAGACAGTGCTTCTCTGTATTGTTTTGGAAGCTGTCGTTCCAGCCCGGCCTCGAACTCACAGAGATCCGCCTGCCTCTGCCTCCTGAGTGCTGGGATTAAAGGCGTGCACCACCACCGCCCGTCTTCCTGAATGACTTTTACACATATTTTCATTCAGAAATTGATCAACTGCAATGATGTATAAATCAATCTTCATCTCTGATGAAATATTTAAGCAAAGGAACACAAAGAAACAATACTCATTTGAGCTCATGGCTTCAGGCCTGTTGTCACTTGACTGTATTTCTGTGCTCATGGAGAGACAGTAAGTACAATATGGTAGGTGGACAGAGGAGAGTTAAACTGCTCCCTGAATCCTGGTAGGGAAAGGGGAAAGGCAATATTAAGAGGATACAGAGAAAGAAACGAGGAGAAAGTTAGAGGAGAGAAAGGAGGGAGGGAGGGAGGGAGGGAGGGAGGGAGGGAGGGAGGGAGGGAGGGAGGGAGGGAGGGGAGAGACCTGGAAGTGTACCCACAGTGTCCTACTTCCTCCTATTTGGAACCACCTCCAAATCCATAAGTGGGTAACTCTACTGATGAAGACTCTCGTAGTCCATTATGTGGGAATCTAACTTTCACTGTATGATGCTTCTTGAGCCAGAGCTATATCCTTATCACAACATCTGGGCAGTAAGTCACAGAATCTGAAAGTAAGATCAGGAGATCTAGAACTGAGTGGCATTAGTACTTGTCTTGGTAAAAACTTGGTTGAAAGGTTTTCCAGAATATTATAAGCATAATTTATTCATTATAAAGGTTATATTTCAGAAAGACTGACTATGCAATAGCTTTGTAAATATTTTATCTCATTTTTAGTTTTCAATTTTTTTACCTCTATATATGTTTACTTAATGTTATACTTAATACCGCCTGCAGTTGAAGGAGTTCTCCTTATAAGAACGCTGTGAGGCAGCAGGATAAGAAGAAGAGGGAACTGGGATTGGATGCCGTGAGGTATAACTGGCATTGTGCATAGGGGTCTGCTATGTAGAAAATTTCCACCTTTCATTTTATATTTTTTCTTTCATTAAAATTTTCTACCCTTATTTATAGTTCAATTCATTTCAATTTTTTGTTTGTTTGTTTTCCAGATTTTATTTTTTATTTTCTATTTTTTTTTATTTAGGTTAGAAACAATCTTGTTTCCCATGTCAATCCTAGCTCCCTCTCCCTCCCCTCCTCCCCCTCACTCCCCACCAGGTTCCCCAGGCCCCCACCCAATCTCCAGTCAGATCCCCAAGGAGGGTGAGACACTCCATGGTGGACCTCCAGTGACTGTCATTTCATCCAGGGCAGGGCCTAGGCCCTCCCCTAAGAGTCCTGGCTGAGAGAGCCTCCCATATTGTGGCATGAGCACTCAAAGTCTATTTTTACTCCAGGGATAAATACTACCCAAGGCCCCATAGATTATCTAGGCCTCCTCACTGACACCCAAATTCAGGGTGCCTGGGTCAGTCCCATGCTTTCCACACAGCCATAAATCTGGAGTCCAAGAGCGCCCCCTTGTTCAGGTCAGCTGTTTCTGTGGGTTAAACCAGTCTGCTCTTAACTTAATTCATTTCATTTTTAAACTTAAACTGAAATTTTTTGGCATACATTGTTCTTCCTATCTTTGATTTTAAAATAGTTACAGTCTTACTTGGAGTTGCAAGAACATATTACATATTTTATTTGATGTGGACATCTATCATCACTTTAGCATAACATTAAAATCAGAAAATCAGCATTGGTGAAATACACATTTATTCTTTAGATTTCTTGAGTCATTATTTTAAATGGACAATAACATGTACTTGCTCTTTGAAGAAGGAAACTGGAGAAGATATCAGAAAGTGTAAAGATCTCCCATGCTTCTGGAAGGGAGGATTAACATGGTAAAAATAGCCACCATCCCAAATGAAATATACAGATTCAATACAATCCCCATTAAAATTTCAGCAATATTCTTCCCAGATCTTGAAAGGGCAATTCTCGACTTCATATTGTACAGGATAGTTAAAATAGTCCTATACAATAAAAAGAACTTCCAGAGGCATCACAATCCCTGATTTCATGCTATACACCAGAGCAGTAGCAATAAAAAATACATGGTATTGACATAAAAATAGGCAGGTGGGTCAATAGAATTGATCAAAGACCCTGACATAATTCCTCACACCTATGAACTACTGATTTTTCACAAAAAGCCAAAATTACACAAGGCAAAAAAAAAGAAAGAAAGAAAGCATCTTCAATAAATGGTGCATAATCGGATGTTGGCATGTAGAAGGATGCAAGTAAACCCAAATCTACGACGCTGCACATAATTTAAGTCCATGTGGATCAGACACTTCAGCATAAAACAAGATATAATGAATCTGACAGAAGAGAAAGTGGGGGACATCCTTGAACACATTGGCACAGGAGGCAACTTCCTGAGCAGAACACTGATGGCACAGGCACTAATATTGACAATTAACTAGTGGGAACTTAAGAATCTGTAAGGCTTCTGAAATGCAAAGGACACCCTCAACAAGAGAAAATGGCATCCTACAGAATGGGAAAAGATTTTCCACAAATTCCACATCTAGTAGTGGGCTAATATCAAAAATATGTGAAGAACTGAAGAAATTAGACATCAGAAAAAAATCCACCACAAATAATCCAAGTTAAAATTGGGTACAGATTAAAACAGAATTCTCAGTAGAGAAATCTTAAGTACCTGACTGGAGAAACATTTAAAGAACTGTTCAACATACTTTGCTGTCTGGAAAATTCAAATCAGTACAATTCAGATTCCACCTTACACCTGTCAGAATGGATAAGATCAATGACACAAATGACAGCTCATGCTCAAGAGGATGAAGAATAGGGGAAACACACCTTCTTTGCTGTGGGATGGGAAATTTGTACAGACACTCTGGAAATCAATATGGCATTTCCTTAAAAAATTGGAAATCAATCTATCTCAAGACTCATCTGTACAACTCTTGGGCATATATCCAAAAGACATACCATCACACCACAAGAGCCCATGCTCAACTGCATTCATAGCAGCTTTATTTCAATTATCCAGAAACCACAAACAAATTAGATGTCTTTCACCCAAAGAGCAGAATAAGAAATATGTGGCAGTTTATACAATGAAGTATTACTCAGCTGTTAAATATAATTACATCATGGAATTTGAAGGCAAATTGATGGAAGTATATATATTCTGAGTAAGGCAATACAGATCTAGAAAGAAAGCCAAGGTATGCCACTCATAAGTGTATATTAGATGTTAAGTAAAGAATAATCATGCTATAATCCACAGACCCAGACAGGCTAAGTAACAAGTATCGCTTGGTGGGAGAAGGGGGAGAATGGTTCTCCATGGAAAGGAAAAATAGAATATATTTTGATGGTTGATTGGGGGTAAATGGGTATGGGAACAGAAGGAATTAAGTGTGGAATGTAAGATGGAGCGAGAATGTATGGACAGAGGTGACTGGAATTGCATGGATTTGGGGGGTGATGCATCAACTTAGTTAAGTGGAAACTTCCAGGAATCTATGAAGGTGACACTAGTGATGACTCCTACTAATGGAGGATACAGAGCCTGAACTGGGCATCTTCTGTAACCAGGTAGAGATCCCAGTAGTAGGAATGGAGCATCTACCTAGCCACCAAAATTTTGACATGCAACCTGTCCTGCAAGAAAGATATGCTGGGTCCGGTAGGCGCATGGCGGCGCCCAGTGAAGTGGCCGCGGCAGTCCTCGGTGAAGGCGATGGCAGGGGTTTTGGATCCTGGCTGGACGGACGGTTGGAGGCTCTGGGAGTGGACCGAGCCGTGTACGGCACTTACATTCTGGGTGTCCTTCAGGAGGAGGAGGAGGAAGAGAAGCTGGACGCCCTGCAGAGTATCCTCTCTGCTTTCCTGGAAGAAGATTCCCTCCTTGATAACTGTAAGGAAATTGTGGAACGATGGTCAGAAACGCAAAATGTCACCACCAAAGTAGAAAAAGAAGATGAGGTCCAGGCCATCGCCACCTTGATTGAGAAGCAGGCACAGATCGTGGTGAAGCCCAGGATGGTGTCTGAAAAGGAGAGGCAGAGGAAAGCAGCCCTGCTGGCCCAGTATGCCGACGTGACCGACGAAGAAGACGAAGCAGATGAGAAAGATGATCCGGGTGCCTCCACAACAAACATTGGTTCTGATAAATCTCTGTTCCAAAACACCAACGTAGAAGATGTTCTAAATGCTCGGAAATTGGAGCGAGACTCTCTTCGGGATGAGTCCCAAAGGAAGAAGGAACAGGACAAACTTCAGAGGGAGAAGGACAAACTAGCCAAGCAGGAGCGCAAGGAGAAGGAAAAGAAAAGGACACAGAGAGGGGAACGCAAGCGATAACCTCGGTCACTCTGTTCCTTCCACCCGTGAATTGATTGTGCGTCTGTATTTAAGAGAACTGTGTCTAATGCATTTCTCAAAATTTCCTAAGGCTTTCCCCTTCCGTTTACATGTGCAAAAGGAAAATCACAGTCACTTGTAACTACAAAATGTGCCATGTTTGGTGGTGTGGGCAATCAATTCTAGTTAGTATCTTTACCAAAGACCTGGAATTAGGGTAACCTTTCTATTTTAGTACTGAAATCCTGTGCTTTTCTGGCTTTTTTAAAAAAGCTCTTCCCTCACTTTGCATAACTAGCCAGATTCAGAAAAACATGATCATTCCTTCTGAGATTAAAAAAAAAAAAAAAGGAAAAAGTGCAAATTGCTCCTGTGGCAACATTTGCCTCAAAATGTAGAGGTTTTTGTTTTGTTTTGAAACAGGGCCTCATTCTGTAGTCTAGGCTGGCCTTGAACTCAGTTCCTCAGCTTTAGCATTATGGCTTGTAGTAGCAGTATTTTATGGCAGAAATAGCTAATGAAGAGCCCTACCTAGATCCAGATTTGATGTGACATCAGATTAGGAAAGTGGAAGATGATATTTGGGGTGAGATAGATCTGGGCTCAAACTGTAGCTGTGTTGAGTGCCTGCTTAGCACACGAGGCCCTGGGATTGATACCCAGTACTGAAGAAAAACTTAACCTATGGGAGAATCAAGTATCTTTTAAAACAGATAACTCATTAGGAAGTATACGTCAATTTGGGGTATAAGGTCATCATTATTAGCTAAATAACTCATGAGTTCCCTTGATTCCCCTCTTTAATCGTGATTTATTCTGCAGGTATGTCCAACCTTTTGATATTGTGACAACTTTTTTTAAAACTTGCAAAAAAATCATGTTTTAAAAGTAAGTTAATGATTTTGTGTAGGCTGAATTTACAGCTATCCTCAGCCACATGTTGGACACACCTGCAACCTGAGTATTAAGACCTAATAATTCCTGGTTTGGAGAAACCAAAGGAATTACTTTTAGAGAAACACCTGAAATTTTGCTAACACAAGATAAACAGTTGGTGGTTAACAAACTTAAATGAGAGAGTAGACAAACTGGGAGAGTCAAGGATGAGCAGAGACTCCATTCCTACTTCTGTCACAGCCACATGCAGCTGTAAATAAAGTCCTTCTTTGCTTGACTTTGGGCAACAGCTATCAAAAGCCTCAAGAGAGCAATTTCTCTAACAAAATACAGTAGATATTTTATACCAGGGGTTAGAAGACTACCACTCACAGGCCAAGTTTGGCCCAGTATTTTTTTGTATGGGGCAAACTAAAATGTTTTTTTTACATTTTTAAAAGAAAGACATTCATGACTGAGACCATATGTGGCCTATAAAACTTAGTATTTACTAGTATTTGGAGAGAGTCTTCTGACTTGATTTTGTATCATTAGCTACCTGTGTGCAGAAGAAAAAGCAAACATGGTTAAGGAAAGGAGATAGTGCTGCCTCTTTATCCTACAACCATGGCACTGCAAAAATAACCACCCTTTTTAAAAATAAACTATTTAATTAAAAAAAAAGAAAGATATGCTGGAGCAATAGTGGCACACAACTTGGGGCAATGGCCAACCAATGACTGATCTAACTAGAAGCCTATGCCATTAGAGCAAGTCCATATCCATTAGTGCCCAGTAAGCAAAGTATGGATATCACAGAGACTTAGGATAGAACTAAACACAACTGAAAAAAAAAGGATAAGTGACTCCTAATAATACTCTGCTATACTCATAGATTGGTGCCTAGGCCAGTCTACATCAGAGAAGCTTTCTCCAGTAGCTGATGAGAGCAGATACACATACCCACAGCCAAACATTAGGCAGAGCTCACAGTACCCAAAATAGGAGGGGAGGAAGGATTAGAGGAGCTATAGATGTCAAAGACACTAGGAGAACACAGATCACAGAATAAACTATGCAGTGCTCATAGGGGCTTAGATTCTGAAGTGGCAGCTATGGGGCCTGCATCATTTGTGCTATGTCCACTAAATATATTTTATGATTGTTTAGCTTGTTCTGGGGGAGAATCCTAGCCGTGGCAATAGAGATTTTTATAATCTCTTATCTGCTCTTGGGACCCTTTTCCTCCTATTGGGTTACTTAGTCTAGACTTGATTTGAGGGTTTGTTCCTACTCTTTTGAATCTTGCTATGCAGCATTTAGCTGATATACCTGGGAGGCCTATTCTTTTCTGAAGGAAAAAGCAGGAAGAGTAGATATTGGGGAGAAGGGAAATGGGGGAGTGACTGGGAGGAGAAACCAGGGTTTGGAGGTATTGTATGAGAAGAATAAACAAAGGAAAGAAGAAAAAGAGCACTTGATATTCATAACATGAAGTTTCAAAGTCTTTGTCTTAGTTAGCGTTTCTATTGCTGTGAAAACACACCATGACCACAGGAAATTTTATTTAAAAAAGCATTTCATTAGGGATAGCTTTCAGTTCAAAGGTTTAGTCCATTATTATTGTGGGGGGAAGCATGGGAACATGCAGGCAGATGTGCAGCTTGAGGATGGGTGAGCATGCTACACTTTAATGAACAGGCAGCAGGAGGAAAAGTGACGTTAGCCTAGCTTGAGTATCTGAGTTCTCAAACACTGCCATCACACTGACATACTTTCTCTGATAAGGCCACATCTACTTCAACAAGGCCATACCTCCTAAAAGTACCATTCCCATGGACTAATCATTCAAACACATGGGTCTATGGGACCATAACTATTCAAACCACCACAGCGTTCATACACTGTAAATGAATAATTTAGTTGCCATGTGCATTACTTCAGTTCTCATGCTGACGGAAAAAATATTTCAAATATACAATATGTCCTTAACTATACTTACCATGTAAAATATATTTCTAGCCCTTATTCCTTGTGGCTGAGACTTCACACCAACACCCATTTCAATCCCATCGATTTTACAGCATCATTCTAGCCTTCCCTTTTGTGAGATCAATTTTCTTAGATTCTACACATGAATGAGATTATATAGGATTTACTTTTGAGGTCAAATTACCTGAGAACCTTCCACTAAATTATATACTGTCATCTAGTAGGCTCATTCTGAAGACTTAGATTTTAAATCTGGGCTTTGGAAGACATTTACCATCCAATCAATAGCCAGTATATTAGCTTACTAAACTAAAACAATGACAGCAAAGGAATTATGGAACATATAAGCCAAAGAAAGTTAGGACAGGATTATTATATATAAGGCATTACTAAGGGCAATTAGAGGGACAATTTTAATAAAGTACATCGACTTACCTGGAGTTGGTTGCTGTCAAGTGGGAGAGCTAATTTTCAGTAGACTGTCTTACTAATTTCTGCATACGGGTAGACAAAGTCATTGGGCCAAAAAAGTCATTGGAAAGCAGCGGCAGGCATTGCTAGTAGCCAAATGAGTGTATAATATTCATGTTTATGGAGGTTTAGTTTTCTGTGTGTGGAGTCACCAGAGCAGTAGAAGGTTCCATGCCCAGGGTACTACAGCTCAGTAGCAAGCTGCCAAGCTGGCTAGAAGTTATGCAAATTTTTTTCCTTAGCAGCTGTATTATATCATAAGCAGTAGCTGCTTAAATGTTCAAGCAATAGTAGTAATTAATGCTGGTTTACAAAAGCATGTAACAAGGCGTTTTAAAAACCTTCAACAGATTAGAGTTCCTGCTTTGGGGAAAGGTAAATCTTGATGAACCTAATATAAAGGGCCTGCTGCTGTTCTTTCCTAGGTATTTGTGGAAGCAATGATCTTCATATCTTTAAAAGACAACTCAATAAGGATAAAAGGCAAAATAATACAGTGTTAGTCTTTGAAGAGTTCATCATTGGCCACTGATACAAGATGCAAGTTGCTATATAAATTAAGATAATGTGCAATGCATGTTTCCAGCATTGAATGTATAAACATAAATTATTTCTTCTTCATTAGTATTAAATGCATTACATTGGAGATATGAAATGACTAATGGTTCCTAGAATTGTAAATTATGTAGTTTATGATTAATCCTGTTTTGGTGATTTCTATAAAAATTTAAAAACCATGCAACTTAGAATAAGTTACTTTAGAAAAATCAAATAAATCAGTAAGAGAAAAATAAATTTTCTCACAAAACTACTATATTTATCTTGGCAAATTTTTCCAATTTCTCTCTATTCAGTTTTATGGAAGATTGACTTAATAACCATATAGTAGACTCTAAACTCTGAGATTGGATTGTCTTACATGTCACACAGACAACTGCCAGAAGTACACATAAAACAGATAGTTTTCAGTTCACATTGTCATTGTACAACCCCATACTTTGTTCTTTAATGCTTCCAAAGGTGAAAAGGATGAGAAATCACTGGAAACTTTTCATATCGACCATACTATGGCTTCAGGATACATGGGAATGCTCAAATTGCAATAACAACCTTACAAGTTATTTTATGATTTCTTAGGCCATGTGTATTTCTAGATTTTATATGTGATGGCTATGTCTATGCTTCATTTAAGTTATGAGATATACAGAATGGAAACTATCCCTGAGTGACAGTATTAGAAAGAAACACAGTGTTTTCTTCCCATTTTGTCATTGCTATTTTCATTTATATGACCTAATTTAGTCACATATTTTTACATGTCACTTTTGTAGCATGCCACAGTGAATCCCAGTAGTATAACGTGGTGGTTGGAGTAGACATGGAGCCATAGGCTTAAATGTTTTTCTTTAGGCAGAGGCACTACTTGAGATAGATTAGGAGGGTTTGCCTATGTCACCAGGGGTGGGCTTTGAGGTTTCAGAAGCCCAAAACAGGCACAGTCTCCAGTCCTCTCTCTCTCTCTGTCTCTCTCTCTCTCTCTCTCTCTCTCTGTCTCTCTCTCTCTCCCTACTGCCTATGGTTCTAGATGTAGAACTCTCATCTACCTCTCCAGGACCATATCTGACTGTCTGCCATGGTGCTTCCTGACATTCTGATAATGGACTAAACCTCTAAAACTGTAAGCAAGCCCCAAGCCCCAATTAAATGACTTCCTTTATAAAACTTACTGTGATTATGGTATCTCTTTGCAGGATTAGAACAGCCACTAAGACAGAAATTCAGACCAGGGAGTGGGGTATTGCTGAAAGGCTGGCCATGCTCCTTGTCTTTAGATTTGGATTTAGGATTAGGAAAGCAGTTGGATGCCTTAAACAGGGCTCAATAGGACATACTTTTAGGAGTAGGGAAGAGAGTAGCGCTGAGAGC